AATCTTTACAGAAGCAGATCATCAGGTCTTTCTTCCGTAGAGGCGCTGGGTGGGTTTGAATCGCCAACCTTTTGGTTAGTAGCTGAATGCTTAACCACTGAGCAACCAGGGCTCCTTTAATAATACCTGTTAGCAACTTTTATTATTTACCACCACTCAGTCACAGAAATGGGAACTCAAAATCAGAACTCACATACTCTAACACCCACTCTCATACCTAGGACTCAGAGGGTCACATCAGCACAATCACAAGTCCATGCTTACATTCTCCTATACTACCACAAGTGGACCTTTACACACACAAGGACACAAATTCACAGTGGTTTCCCACATACATAACCATAATAACTGAGTTACAGACTCACAAACGGTAGCTCCCATACACATATACAGAAAAAGTGGGTCTCACACACATATATGGGCACATACGTAATCAGTGGCTTCTCACACATACATGACCACAAAACTAAATCACACACATAGATGGGCACACATATTCCAAAACAATGGTTTACCTTGTATGGGAAATATAATTAAAAGCAAAGTCTACTGCCAACCCAGAAACCCTCTTCACAAAAAACAGAAGAGAAAGAAAAGTTTTATTATTGAATAAGCATTAAACCAGAATGTGAAGTATTACAGGCAATCTGCTAAAGAACTTGGAAAGATAGAAAGGAATCAGGCCCTTTATAGGGTTGAGTGGACACAACCTATAACCTTCGTAAGTTCTAGATAAAATTGCGAATTTTCTAGTATATTTATGGCAGGATACCTGAAGTTATGCTAGTCTCCTTCCAGGAAACTGGAAAGGAGGGGTATGATTTTCCTGGATGCTTTCATTTCAAAACAGATGGCTCCCAAGTCCTTGAGGAAACATCCTTAATTTACATACTTTTCAAAGAGACCAAGAATTTACAATGACAAGTTAGCCAAAATGAATCTGAAAAAACATGGGAGGAGGGGAGCCTCTTCTCTTATTTTCAATTGGAGAATTAAAACTTCTTATTTCCAATTTGGGGAGCCCTGGTGGCACAGTGGTTAAGACTACAGCAGCTAACCAAAAAGTTGGCAGTTTGAATCCACCAGGTGCTCCTTGGAAACCCTATAGGGTAGTTCTACTCTGTCCTATAGGGTCGCTATGAGTCAGAATGGTCTTGATGGCAACGGGTTTGGTTTTGGTTATTTTGTAAAGGCACTGTGGAACAAAGTATGGTGATCTGCTTCTGCAAGGTGATTTAGGAAATAATATTGGAGTCATTAGTCCCTGTTCTTCAGCATAGAAATGTGACCCAGCTGGAGCTGGGCTCACAGGGACTCACAAGGATACATCAACTGGGCCGTAAGGTATAAAGACAATAGCTAGGATAATCCTGGAAAATATCTTTTAGGGAACCTTTCACACAAACCATTCAAACAACAAAAAGACTTTCCACTCTTATCTTTTTCTATTAGCATTTAGTGAATAGAAAATTTGTTTGTCCAATGAGTACCCTCCTGTCATTACTGAAACCTGTACCAATGATTATTAAGAAAGATGATTCAAAACGTAGGTCACAGTTTCTAGCCAATCTGTGAAAAGGTGAAGCTTTCAAAGGTTTTGCCCATTTGTAATACTAATATATACTGATGACTCTGTAATGTTCCTTGGACTCGGACAGACATGGCTGTGCAAGCATGCTTGTCCGTTTTCCCACCTTTGCTTGTTCTGTAATATTTCCTTGGACTAGGGCAGAAATGGCTGCGGTAGCATGCTTGCCGGTATTCCCATTCTTGCCTATTCTGAAATATTCCTTGGATTTGGGCAGACACGGCTCTGGCAACATAATTGTCCGATTTTCCACTTTTGCCTTTTTGACTATATGCTGAATAAAACTTTCTTTTTGCTTTACTAAACTTTTTGATGTTTTGTCCCTGCAACAAAGGTCACAGCTATGAAAATACAGAGCACAGTTCTACTCTGACACACATGGGGATGCCATGAGTCAAAGTCCACTCAATGGCAATTGGTTACTAGTATTTTCAATTAGTATTTGTCCTTACAATCCTCTCACATACACACAACCACAAAAACTGGGCCACACACACACACAAATGTACACACACTTACAATCCAGGTCACGCTCGAAGAGATCCTCCGGGTAGAACCGCATCTCGATCCGCCCCTCACAGAGACGCACAATCACACACTAATTACCTCACACACTGCTACACTTAGGCACCCTGGGACCCTCCCTGCTCCCCGCAGAGTCATCGGTCCCTCACCCTGTATCCCACCCGCCAGGCTGACACAAACTCTCAGCGCGACACGGGGCGGAAATGGCGGCGGTACCTTCTGGGAAATGTAGTCTGGACATTGGAAAACCGCCGCGCAAAGGACTCTGGGACTCCTCGTTCAATGAAGGCGCCGATGAGACTCCACTTCTAGCCTGGAGGAACGTCCCTCTGCCCCGCCCTCTAATCATTTCCTCTCCGGAACGGTCAAGTGGGAGCCACCGGGGGGCCGAGACCACTGAGCCTTCCGTTCCTGGCCTAGCCGCCCAGAGCCTCCCCGCGCCGCGGAGGCTTCTGGGTGTAGCAGTCTGAGATCGAAGTGCGCAAGCGCAGCTGCGCGCGTCAGCGTTCGCTGGTGAGCTGGGCTCCAAGTCCCGCTGAACGTGAGGAAATAATGGAGAGTGACGGGGCGAGAAGCCCCCCAGCCGGAGCATGCAGGTGTAGAAGCCGGGGAGGGTGGCCAAACGGGAAGAATGGGGTTGGCTGAGCAGATCAAGGAAGGATCTCAGTGCTTGAGTACATATTCCTGACATCCTAAGGAGAGTGAGGAGTGAGGCCTCCCTCACCTGCCTCCCGGGAGCTACGCGAAAGTTTTGCGCGTGCGTGAGAGCATGCGTGGTACGTCGTTTGTGCAGGGGCGGGGCTTCGGGCTGGTGCGCTTGCGTACGAAGGGGCGGTGCGTCAGGCGTTCTGCAGGGGTCCCATGGAACTGAGTGAACGTGTGCGTGCCGCGTGGCTTTGTTTGGGGGCGGGGCCCTCCTACTTGTTGCGCGCGCTAGGGGGCGGGGTTGGTGCTTTGCCCACGGGGTTCCAGAGGGAAGTGCGCAGGCGCGGGGAGCGCGGGGTTTTTTGCGCAGTTATTGGCTTGGGCGCCGCTGGGGCCCGACGGGGGAGGACGGAGGTGAGAGTGTGTTGTGTGAGATTGTGTGATTGTGCACCCGCAACTTCGTGGGGTTGTGAGATTGCACTGCATGGGATTGTGACCCCGAGACTGCATGGGGTTGTAACTCCGGTGACAGCGTGGGGTTGCGACTTTGCAGCAGTGTGGGTTTCTGCGACTCTGTGGGGTTTTGTGTCTGTGACTGTGTGGAGTTGAGCGCCCGCGACTGTTGGGGATGTGTACCTATGACTGCATGTGGGATCGTAAGCCTGCGCCTGCGTTGGATTGTGTGCCTGGAACTATTGGGATTGTAATCCTGTGGTTGTGTGGGTTGTGTGCCTGTAGCTGTGTGTGAGGTGCAAAGGTGTAGCTGTATGTGATGTGTGATGGCATCGGGGTCTGAGTGGCCTTGTGTGTGTGTGTGTGTGTATGTATAACGGCGTCTGGGTGTGTGGTGAAGGAACTGTCTCTGGGACCATGGGTATCACTATATGACTGTCTGGTATTTATATGAGAAATAAATGATGGAACCTATAGGGAGTTTTGGGTGGGAGTAGGCACGTGAACGTGACTGAGGGTTGGTGGTGTAGGGGTGCATTTGTGATGTGGGTGTTTATCACAGTGTGATTGGACTGTGTGACTTTGCGGTTGTGCATGTGCAGCGATGTGTGCCTGTTGGATTGTACTGTCCTGGGATATGACTCACTGTAACTGTAGATATGGAGGCCACCGTTGGGGGGATTCTAAGAGACTATACAGGTGTGAGAGGCCTTTCTGTGAAAGTGCCTGTGTGTGCTTGAATCGTTGTGAAGCTGCATGCGTCTTTGTGTGTGGCTTTTCTCCTCAGTAAAATCGGGTCATAGTACCACCTGTCTCCGTGTTGTCAGGAAGATTAAACAGGACAATGTCAGTGACCCACCCAGCACAGAGCCTGGCACTCAATAAACACCATGTAGATGTGGGTGTTTGTTGTAGTGCTGGTATCATTGGACCTGTGCCAAGGTGGGGTGTAGTCACGATGCTGAAGGACTCTGTGTCTCTGGACTTAGGATTGAGCATTGTAGGTGCTCCCACCAAGGATCCAACTGTCTCTCAGATGAGCCCTCCAGTGACCTGGCCTTGTGTTGTTTTTGTCTCTCCATTAGTGCGCATTTGAGAGGAGGGTGGTGCCTGTCCTGGCCTCTGGGAGCTTGTGGTTGTACGACTTCTCCTTAACCAGGTTAACCCATTGACATCAAGTCAATTCATACTCATGGCGACCCCAAGTGTGTCAGAGCAGAACTGCGCCCCATGAAGTTTTCAATGGCTATAATCCTATAGAATAGATTGCCAGGCCTTTCTTCCGTGGTACCACTACATAGGTACAAACTGCCAACCATTTGAGTAGTAACCGAATGCAAACTGTTTGCACCACTCAGGTAGGTGGGGGTTTAAGAGCATGAACTCTGGAGCCAGACTACCTGGCTTTGACTACTGGTTCCACCACTCACTAGTTGTGTGACTTTGGGAGAGGTTACTTAATTGTGCTGCCCCTCAGTTTCTTCATCTGTAAAACAGATAATAATAGTACCAGCCTCAGGATTGTGGTGAGGATTAAGTATAACAGTACTTGGCACAAGTAAAAACCAAACCCGTTGCCTTGAGTTGATTCTGATTCATAGCAACCCTATAGGACAGAGAAGAACTGCCGTATAGAGTTTCCAAGGCTGTGATCTTTACGGGAGCACTTGGCCAAGTCTTTCTTTCTCAGACCTGCTGAGGGGGTTCAAACCATGACCTTTTGGTTAGCAGCCGAGTACTTAACCATTGCACCACGAGAGTTCTTTGTCTACTCAGAGCTTGCATTTAGTAGGAGAGACAACAAAATTGTTGGTGGTAAGTATTTTGAAAAGTAAAGCAAGGTGAAGGGATTAGAGTGACCAGTTGCCGTGGAGTCAGTTCCAACTCATGGCAACCCCACGTGTCCTATTCGAACTGTGCTCCATAGGGTTTTCAGCAGCTGATTTTTTGGAAGTAGATTGCCAGGCCTTTCTTCTGAGGTGCATCCAACCTTTCTGTTAGCAGCCAAGCAAGTTAACCATTTGCACTACCTAGGACTCCTGGAGAGTGACAGCAGGTACTGTTTTCAGAATCAACACCCAGACTTCCATGGGCACCTTAGTCAACTCCAGAGCTAGGGGAGGGAATATTTCTCACTGGCCACCACTACTGGGAGAGCAGTGGCCACTGTCAGTGACTCCTTGGAATCCCTTTATCAGGGAATCTAAGAGTTTTCCTTTGAGCTTATCAAAGACTTTTTCTTCCAGCCTTGAGGTCTGGCCCTCAACAGGGAGAGGTCAGATTCCCAGCCCCACCCCTGAGATTTGAGGTGGTTGTTGTTGTTACTGTTAGCTGCCACCAAGTCAGTCCTTGACTCATGTTGACCTCATGTGACAGAGTAGAACTGCTCCTTAGGATTTTCTTGGCTGTAATCTTTACAGAAGCAGTTGCCAGGCCTGTCTTCCATGGAGCCTCTGGATGGGTTCGAACCACCAACCTTTAGGTTAGCAGCTGATCACAAACCATTTGTGCCACCCATTTTCTGAGACTTAGGGTAGTGGTTCTAAACTATGCCTTTGCATTAGTGAAAGGCTGGGAAGACTTTTAAAAATAGAAGGAAGACAAAGACCCAGACCCAGTCCCCAGAGATTCTGATTTAACGGGTCTGGCGTGAGGTGCTGTCATCAGTATTTATGTAAAAGCTCCTTAGAGAGTCTAATGTGCAGCCAAGATTGAGAGCTACCACGCTGAGAGACCTCAGGCTCCTTTGGCCTCCTGGGAATGAGAGAAGTTAATTTGGAGGAGGGTTGGGGAGGAGTAGAGTCCCTGGGCAGCACAAACAGTTAAGCGCTTGGCTGCTAACTGAAAGGTTGGAGGTTCAAGCCCACCCAGAAAGGCCTGGCGATCTTTTTCCAAAATATAAGCTATTGAAAACCCTATGGAATACAGTTCTACTCAGACACACATGGGGTCACCATGAGTCAGAGTCGACTCAAAGGCGACTGGTTTTGGTATTAAAGGGCCGTTTAGCCATTCAGTGGGCAGACAATTAACAAATTCTTTCCACGTGCCAGGTGCTGTTCCAACGTTCAGGGCCCTTGGGATACACAAAAAAAGCCCATTCTCAGGGGCTTGTATTCTAGTGAATGGAGACAGACAGTCAGCACTGGACAGAATACCTAAGGAGACCATGTAGCATATTAGATGGTGGTAAGAGCTATGGAAAAAGAGACAAAGCGGAGCTGGGTAAGGAAGAAAGACAGGGTAAGTGTGCTAGGGGCAGGTTGCAGTGTTCAATAGTGTGTTCTAGTGACCTTCATTGAGAAGGTGAGATTTGAGCAGAGACTGAAGGACATGAGGGACTGAGGCAGGCACTAGAACATTGCAGGCCGAGGGTACTGCTACTGCGGAGATAAATCCTGGGGAGGAGGCAGCAGCACATTCCTGGAACAGCAAGGAGGCCAGCATGGTGAGGGGGAGTGCAGGGCCTGAGGTCACAGCACACAGCAGGCCAACATAAGGTCACAGGTCACATACACAGAGTCATATTGCACATATATACGTATTACACAGAGTAGTTTTTAGATGCCATCGAGTCAATTCTGACTCATAGCAACCACACATGTGTTGGAGTAGAGCTGCCCCATAGATTTTTTGTGGCTGTAATCTTTACAGAAGGACCCCATGGTTAAAGCACTTGGCTGCTAACTGAAAGATCAGAAGGACCCCATGGTTAAAGCACTTGGCTGCCAACTGAAAGATCAGCAGTTCGAAGCCATCAGCCTCTCCCTGGGGGAAAAGACCTGGCAATCTGCTCCCATGAAGATTACAGCCTTGGAAACCCTATGGGGCAGTTCTACTCTGTCTTACAGGGTTGATATGAGTTGGAATCCACTTGATGGCAGACAAAAACAACCATCTTTATGGAAGCAGGACACTAGCCCTTTCTTCTGTAGTGCCACTGGGTGGGGTCCAACCACCAGCCTTTTGATTAGTAGTCAGTACAAACCGTTGGCACCACCTAGGGACCATGCTGGAGTCTGATGCCTGGGTTTGAATCCTGGCTTTGAGCCAGATCTCAATCCAGTGTCACCTCCTCAGAGAGGTCTTCCCCAGTCACCCCGTCAGTCTCTAGCCTGCTGCCCTGGTCTTTTGTTTCTTCACATGACCCCATCTACCATTGTATTGTATTGGGCTTATTTTCCCTGCTAAGATGACCTTGGGCAAGTGATTCCCACTTTTCTGTGCTTCAGTTTCCTCACATGTAAGTATGGCAGTAATAATAAATTGGAGCCCCTGGGTGGTGCAAATGGTTAAGTGCTTGGCTACTAACATTCAACTCCACCCAGAGTCAACTGATTGCTCCAGGGTTTATGTGAGAATTAAATGATAATTGCATAGAGTGGTGCCTGTGCATGAAGACAGTTGATATTTATTCATCTTGTTATTAGTTAATTTTAGTATTACCTCTTACTACTACTCCATCCTACAAAGAGAGAAGGATTAACAAATCAGTCTCCTGGCTGAGTTCCCTTAAACCGTACAAGGCCATGTTATGATTCACATTAACATTCCTGTTATCTTAACTCTGAATTTAAGCATGGCCTTGGTGTTATTTATCTTCCCCAACCTCCCCAAGGGGAGAAAAAAAAATTTTTTTAAATCTGTAAAGGGAAACTTCCATATTTCCATCTTCTAGACTGGGTCCTGCCGTACCTTTTTCACAGGAAATTCACAGACAAGAGCTTTTTAAGACGTAGCCACCATTGTGGAGTCCCTAGGTGGCGCAAAGAGTTAAGCACTTGACTTCTAGCCTAGAGGTTGGTGGTTCGAACCGACCCAGAGATGCCTCAGAGGAAAGACCTGATCATCTGCTTCCGAAAGGTCACAGCCATTGAAAACCCTATGGAGTGCAGTTCTAATCTTTCACATGGGGTCGCCATGAGTCAAAATTGACTCGACAGCAACAGGTTTGTTTTGTTCTGTTTTTTATTCTTGGCAAGACAGAGTGTACTCTGATAAGTAAGAACAAGGTAAGACTCATCATCATTATGATTGTGTGGACAGTCTCAGACAGCACCAGTGATCCCCACCTCCTGGTGTTCATGCCTTACGTAATCCCTCCACACCAAGGAGACTCCTCTAGTCTTTATCACAAAAGCAGTCAGAAGTTGTGAAATCATTTTAAGCAGAAAGAGTAACATGAACTCAAGAGTCCCTGGGTGTTACAAACAGTTAACATCCTCGGCTGCTAACCAGTGGTTGGAGGTTTGAGTCTACCCAGAGGCACCTCGGAAGAAAGGCCTGGCAACTGACTTCTGAAAAATCAGCCACTGAAAACCCTATGGAGCACAGTTCTACTCTAATACAATGGTGTCACCATGAGTTGGAGTCAACTCCATGGTAACTGATTTGATTTTTTCTTTTTTGGGTAGTGCAGATGGTTAATGCTTTCAGCTGTTAACCGAAAGATTGATGGTTCGAGTCCACCCAGAGGAGGCACCTTAGAAGAAAGGCCTGATGATCTGCTTCCAAAAGGTCACAACCATTGAAAACCTTATGGAGTAGTTCCACTCTGCACACGTGGGGTCACCATGAGTGAGAATCAACTCAATGGGAACTAACAACAACTATATCCACCGTTGTTGGTGCTGGGGTGTGATAATGGCACTGGGGTCATAAGGAATAGTGACCATGTTCTTCAGGGCCTCATGCTAAAGCATTGAGGGGTGAACTGTCACCATGTCTACAGCTTCCTTTCAAATGACTCAATTTTTTAAAAAGCGTGTGTGTGTGTAAAAATGTTAACATTTGGTGAAGTGGAGTAAGGCACTCCTTGTACTAGTCTTTCACTCTTCTATAGATTTGGAATTTTTCAGAACAAGGGAAGTAAAAAGCACACCCCATTTCTGCCTTTTCCAGACCCTTCCATTCTGCAGAAGACAAGTTTAGAGGAATATGGAATGACTGTGCAGCCGACCAAGGAGGGACGGGAACTCAAGTTCCCAGTAGAACCGTTTCCCATGATGCAGTTTCAGCGTAAACCTGTTGCCACCGAGTTGATTCCAACTCATAGCGACCCTACAGGACAGAGTAGAACTGCCCCCATAGGGTTTCCAAGGCTGTGATCTTTAGGGAAGCAGATTGCCAGGTCTTTTCTCTCACGGAACCACTGGTGTGTTCGAACCGCCAGCCTTCCGGTTAACCACTGCACCACTAGAGCTCTCTAGTTTCAGCATAGTACGCGTGAATCCCACCCTTGAATGCTGGCAGCACATGCGAAACAGGCTGTTGAGTCAGTCTGCAGGGATTTGTGGAGCATGGCTCTGTGCCAAGTGTGTGCCCAGTCTGGGGGGGACAACCGTGAGAAAAACAGTCGAGGTCTCTGCTCTCAGCAAGCCCAATGGTGGGGGAGGTGATAACCGTGAAAACTCATACACAGACAAGCTCTTCTTTGCAGGAAGCAGAAAGTGCTATGAAGAAGTGGAGCAAATATAGACTATACTAACGAGCAGTACCATGCCCTAGAAATAATGCAAGACACATGCATAATTTTTAATTTTCCAGTTTGTTAGGTGCCGTCAAGTTGATTCCAACTCATAGTGACCCTACAGGACAGAGTAGAACTGCTCTCAGAGGATTTCCTTACGGGAGTAGATTGCCAGATCTTTCTCCCACAGGGCAGCTGGATGAGTTTGAACCGCCCACCTCTCGGTTAGCAGCCAAGTGCTTGACCGCTGTGCCACCAGTAACCTCATTGAAAAAAGTAAAAACAAAACAAAAGTTGCAGTCGAGTTGAATCCGACTGATGGCAACCCCATGTGTGTCAGAGTAAAACTGTGTTCCACAGGGTTTTCAATGGCTGTGACCTTTTGGAAGTACATCTGTAGGTCTTTCTTCCAAGGTGCCTCTGGGTAGACATGAACCTCCCACCTTTTGGTTAGTAATCGAGCACATTAACTATTGGATCACTCAAGGACTCCAGAGTGACTCAGGATAGAGGCTGTTTTAGATGGGGTCACCTCTGGAGAGGTGACATTTGACCACATCTCACCTCCTCCACTCCCACTCTAGCCCAAGCTGCCAGCGTTTCCCCGAGTTCTTGCACAGCCATCTAATGATTCCTCTGCTTCAGCTTTGCTTCCTATGCGTGCACACACACGCACACACACACACACACACACACACACACACACACAGTTTATTCACCCTTGTTAGTTGCCATTGAGTTGATTCCAACTTATAGTGACCACATGTGACAGAGTAGAACTACCCCATAGGGTTTCCTAGGCTGTAATCTTATGGAAGCAGATCGCCAGGTCTTTTCTCCCATGGAGCTGCTGGTGGATTCCAAATGCCAATCTTTAGGTTAGCAGTCGAGTGCTTAAGTGTTAGCAGCCGAGTGTTTAATCATTGTGCCACCAGAGCTCTTTGTACTCCAGACTACTGATTGCATAATAGATTTGAACCTTAGGTTTGCCGTTTGTTAAATAGGACTGTATTTAGTACCTGCTTCACAGTGATATTGTGAGGACTGAATAATGAAAGGCAATAACAATATCTAACATAATGATTACATGCCATGTGCTGTTTCAGGATTTTACACGTATATCTAATATAGTACTCAAAACATGGCTTTACATAGTGGTTTTTTGTACCATATCACACTTGGGTGCTGTCGAGTTGATTGTGACTCAGAGCGACCCCATATGATAGACTAGAGCTGCCCCATAGGGTTTTCTAGGATTTAGTCTTTACGGGAGCAGATCTCCAGGTCTTTCACCCGTGGCACCACTAACCCATTGCCGTCGAGTCAATTCCAACTCATAGCGACCCTATAGGACAGAATAGAACTGCCCCATAGCGTTTCCAAGGAGCAGCTGATGGATTCAAACTGCCAGCCTTCTGATTAGCAGCCGAGCTCTTAACCACTATACCACCAGGGCTCCACGGCACCACCTGCGGGTTCCAGCCCCCAACCTTTCAATTAGCAAATGAGCGCTTAAGCGTTGTGCCACCAGGGCTCCTTCAGCCACCAAAAACTTGTTAAATGTTAAATCAAATGACGTCACTCCCCTGGTCAGCTCCCCTCTCCCCTATCCCTTCTTACCCCCAGTGATCTTTGGTCACACTTAGAATCAAATCTAAACAGGCCTTCACGATCTGGCGTCTCCTGACCTTAGCCACATCCCTCCACACTCCCCACCTCACTCACTGCTTCAACACACAGGCTTTCTGGCTTCCCTCCACACAGCAGGCAGGCTTCTGCTGCGGAGCCTTTGCACCTGCTGTACCTCTGCCCGGGATGCTCTGCCCTCAGCGCCCATGTGGCTCACATTTCCCTGGTTCAGATCTTAGCTCAGTGTTACCTCCTCAGAGGGGCCTTCCCCACCACCCCATTGCTCTCTAGCATCCTGCCCTGGCCTGTTTTCCTTCTTAGCAGTGACCCCCTACCATTGATTTCCCTGCCTGGATGTGAGGTGTATGGGGACCAGCGCTTTTCTGCTCTAACTCGCTGCACTAACCCCAGCACCTCACCCAGTAGGCATTCAGTGAGCACTTGTCAAAGGGGTGAATGAGTGTCTGCTCCTGTGTCATTGGCCTCCTGCCTCAGAGCTGCTGTGACCTTCGGAGCAGACAGCAGTGGCCATGGTCCTTACCTGACCCTGAGAAGGGGCAGGAATGCTCCAGAAGATGCTTTGACCTTCCTCCATGTGTGTGTCCAGGTGTGTGTATTTGTTTGTCTAGGTGTGTGGGTGTATGTGTCCAAGTGTGTGTGTATCTGCTTGTCCAGGTATGTAAGTGTATGTATCCAGGTGTATGTGTGTATGTGTGTCCAGGTGAGGTGAGTGTATGTGTCCTGTGTGTGGGGATGTGTGTCCAGCATAAAGGTCCTGGGGACTCAGACTACCCAAAAGGCCCAGTCTCATGACTTCGTTTCTCCCCCAGCCTTGCATTCCCAGCTCTTTGCTCCTGTCCAGATGTGGAACGTCACAGGGGAGGCAAGAATGCCTGCTGCCCGAGGAAAATCCAAGTCCAAGGTGAGTGCCAACTCCTTTTCCTCCAGAAAGTTGCATCTTGTCTTGTAAGACTTGCACCATTTGCTCTCCTTCTCTGGGAACTCCCTGCCCGGTGGAGACCCACCTAGGAACTGTTCCCCATTTCCTCCATTGCCATGAGGGGGATACCGAGAACAGCCCCAGGGGCCTCCCTCCTCTCCTCTCTGTGTGCACATGTCCATTCCCCTGTCTGTTCAGCATCCCAGGGGCCCTGCTGGCATGGGAGAATCCCCTCCTGCAGGTGGAGGTACATGCCCAGGGAGGGCTTCCACAGTGTGTTCTAGAGTTAGTTCTCAGTCTCTCTGATTTTACTTGTCAAATTCACATTCACAAGGAGGACGTCTCTTTAGCTAGACACCCACACACATCTGGACACACAAGCACACGTGGGGCCACACACTCACATACCTGGGCGTGTACACATCTAGACACATACACACACATCTGAACACACAAACACACATACCTGAACACACACACACCTGGACACACACAGTCACCTCACCTGGGCACACCATCACTCACATACCTAGGCAGACACACACACACACACAAACCCCCCTGAATACATGCATACACTTGGATTTATGTATCTAGGATACTCTCCCTATCTTGTTGTTGTCAGCTGCTTAACCGTTGTGCCACAAGGGCTCCTTTGACGAGTATTAGCTCCTTTAGGTTATTCCTCATAACCTCCCTGTTGAGTGAAGTAGGTATTATTAGGCCTGTTTTACAGGTGAGGAAAAGGAGGCACATGGAAGTTAAGTAACTTGCTCAAGATCATGCACTCAGTCTGTAGGATTTGAACCCAGGAACTCTCGCCCCAATGTCCATGTTCTTAATCACTGTGCTTTTTGATGGTGCTGTATTACCTCAAATTTAAGATACCATTGATTATAAGACGTGCCATTATTTATATTCCATTAAGAAAGAACACCTCCACCAGTTGAACTTTGACATGCTGTTGATTATATTATTTGTCTCAATTTTAGATGTGTTAAAATATGAGGGGAATAAATGTACTCCTTAGAATCCATGGAAATCAAGTGTGAACCTTTGCTGACCTTTTCCTGGTCTGTCTAAGAATTCTTGGCTAGCTCAAGGTTTACTGTCACGGATGATACTGTTTGTTTTATGAGCCAATCTGTTATTCAGCTAAAAGATGACCTCGTGGAATAGTTTTGGTTCAAAGTTTAAAGAGTATCTCAGGGCAGTCGTCTCGGGGAATTTTCCAGTCTCAACCAGTCCAGTAAGCCTGGACTTCTAACAATTTGAGTTCTCTTCCACATTTTGCTCCCATTCTATCAGGAT